ACTTTATAAAAAATGTAAATTTAAATTTTTTAAATGAATAATCTTTAACTTGACGTTAAAAAAGTATTTTTTTAAACAGTAAAAAATTTGTTTCTTTAAATGTAACCAAGATGTACTTGTTAGCCATATTGACGTCCCAAAAGTAGGCAAAACAAAGCTTGATATATGTGTAACATATTGCTCATTCCAGTATATATTAAAAGACGCTAAACTATGTCCAATGTAAATAAACATTGAGTTAACACCTAAATATCATCAATGAACAATTTACAAAAATTTAACTTTATTAGTGTAGAAATTATTTTAATATCAATTATCTATTATACACTAAATACAAGATGTTAAAAGCAATTTAATAGTTTTTTGAATAATTGAGGTAAAATTTTCTGAATAGGAAAATTACGACATTGATTGGTAGAATTTTGAATGGCAATATATAACTGTGAAAGTTTATATTGAATTTTATATTAACATATGCTTTGTTTAATATATATATATATATACATATATATATATATATATATATATATATATATATATATATATATATATATATATATATATATATACATGTATATATATATATATATATATATATATATATATATATATATATATATATATATATATATATTAAACATATATATATATATATATATATATATATATATATATATATATATATATATATATATATATATATATATATATATATATATATATATATATATATATATATATATATATATACATTAAACATATATATATATATATATATATATATATATATATATATATATATATATATATATATATATATATATATATATATATATATATATATATATATATATATATATATATGTATATATATATATATATATATATATATATATATATATATATATATATATATCTACTATAGCATATTTATATGCGCAACTGCTCACTTTTTTTGCTAGCCTAAATTTAGTGAGCGTTCTTAGAAAACAATGAGGGAAAAAGAAGAATAATGAATGAAAAGGTTGCTGACCCATACCAAACCCTCAGTCGATGTAGCAGCACTCCACTGCGAGTCAAGCTATTTGTCAGTCGATGTATGTACTGAAGCCCCCAGCAGCAGGATACTTGACATTAGGTAAGTATGACATCATCATGCTCACCTAACTCAGCAGTATAAGATATATATGTAATGAAAAATATTTGTTTAAAGAGCATTTGATTGTTCCTAATATGCACGGGACCTAAATAAGTCGTCTTTTAAACGTTCCAAAATTGTTAAAAATATTCAAAAGACGTCTTATTTACGTTATGTTCCACTGGGTTCTTTTATGATAATTAAAAATGCATTAGAAAATGAGAAAATGTCGATAAAACAAAAAGCCGAAAAAAATAAGGAACTAACCATACAGATCTAACTATAAAACATGTTGCTGTTGCTGATCTTTTTGTTTCTTCTCACTAGAGCCATGGCTAGGCTACCCTGTATCAGAGTTGATAGTTCTTGGCCTTGACCTTGCTTTAAGGCAGAAAATTAAAGCCTTGGCCTTAAAGCTGTTGACCTTGCTCTTTTCAGGGCAAAAAAATAAGTCTTTGGTCTCGATATGTTTTTGCCTTAAAACTCTTGTTCTTGGGCTTGACCTGGCCTTGGCCCTTCCTTGGCCTTCTAACTTTTAGTCTTGGTCTTTCTTTGGCCTTGTAACATATAGCCTTGGCCTTGCTACTTTTGGCCTTAATAACAACTCTGCCCCACACATCTAATCGATGGAGGAAAGGAGGAAGAATAGAGGTAGCAATTTTTTTTTTATCATTATTGCTTCCAACAAGGGCGCAAACAACCACTATTGGAGTTTGAAGTTACTGGGAGAGAAAAGATGAATTTTATAAAACAAGATAACGATTGACAGATTAAAAGATTAACACTTAAAAGATTGCAAATTATATGAATCAGGAAAGCAAGATGAAGGAAGCAAATTTCAAAGAACTGATGTTCAAGGAAAAAAACTAGACGAATAAGAGTTTTTAGAGCACTTAGGAACAGTCACAGAAAAAATGAACTATTTGAATGACGAGTAACACGAGAACGAGTTTTAGTAGATGGCACAAGAGACGCTAACTCTTTAGAGCAGTGCCGTTATAGTGTTTGTAGAAAAGAGAAAGAGAATCAACATAACAACGATGTGACAATGGTTAAAGGTTGGCTTCAAGAGCAGGTTTAACTATGTTTACAATGCATTTTTGCACCTTTTCTAAAAAGAGAAAGGGTATCATTAGAAGATCCGCCCCAGAAATGGCAACAGTGTTCCGTACAAGGACGGATTTGAGATTAGAATCTAAAGTTAGAAAGTGTCAAACTTGATAAAGAGATGCAAACTTAGCAGATACTATTTTTGCAATGGATTTGATATATGGTTTCCAAGAAAAATGGGATTTAAGAGTTAATCTTAGAAGATGATAGATAGATGATTCATCGAGTAAATTACCGTTCATAAATATAGGAAGATGTAGTATATAGCGATAACGATTGGTTAAAAAAAATTGAGTTTTATCTGAATCAAAGTTCAGCAGCCACTGTGATCCCCATGTTGTAGCAGAAGTGAGATCCTTTTCAAGCTCAAATGCTCCTTCTAAGCAATCATAGAGTGTTTGCTTCTTATCAAGACAAGATTAAATGGTAGTTTCATCAGCGAACAATGCCGCTTGAGATGTGAGAATATTTGGAAGAACGTTAATGTAAATTTAATAGAGTTAAATAGGCCAAGGATTGAACTTTTAGGAACCCCTAAAGTTACTGGATATCATGAAGAGTGCATTCCATCAAGCACATTTTTTATACTGATTGGTAAGTAAGGGTATAATAATCTTAAAGGTGCTACCTAATAATACCTGTAAGTTATAAGCTTATGGATAAGACCAACAGGCCAAACATTATCAATAGCTTAAGAAATGTCAAGAGCAATAGCCTTAACTTTTCCACCTCTTTCTAATGCACAATAAAATCTTTAGGTTATTACTGTTAGCAAACCAGCTGTAGAACAAGAAGATCAAAATCCATATCAATGATCAGAAAGAGAAGTTTTTAGCTTACAAATCAGCTTTTTCTTTAGGTGAGGTGACAAAGTCTGAAGCATACAAGAGAGGTGGAATAACAGATTATCCTTTATTATTACTTCTGTTAAAAATTCTCCAGAGGTCACTAGAGCTTATTTTTTGAAATGAAATTTGAGGTTTTATAGCTTGAGAATAGCTAGCTTTGGCGTTAGATCAAGTCTTTTTACAATGGTTTCTAGCAATAGTAAACAGATATCTGTTTTCTGAAGAGTTGTTTTGTTGATAGATATGAATATAATGGTTTCAATTGGATATTGCAGCAGCACAATGCATTGTGAGGAAAATCATGGAGAAGATTGAGACCTAACTTGGGATTGTCAAGAGGGAATAAAAGATTCCATGTCAGCCTAAATCCAAGAAGTTGTGTAAAAAGCGCATTTGTCAGAAGAAAGAAAAAAAATTTCTACTCAAGGGCCATCATAAAGAAAATCACAGAAAATATCCCAGCCAGCTTTAAGGTATTTTAAAAATGTACAATGATAGGGGGATTCTGATGATGAAGAAGAATTATATAATAGTTTTAGAGAGATCAAACTGTGATCTGAAGCACCTAAGAGTAAATGAAACTGAGCACTGACTAGGATCAGTTTCATTTACTCTTAGGTGAAGTCATTCAGTGTAATGAGTATTAAAGTCACCACCAACAACAGTATTGGCTGATGGATAAAGAGAGAGGGCTCGGTCAACTTAATCAGAAATAACATCAAAAAGAGTGCAGTCTTCAGAAGAATGAGAACAATATAGAACATAGAGGAAGGCGATAGATTGAAGTGATGCTAAACGAAATTACATAAAAGAATAGTCTATGGATACAAACCTAGTTTCCCAATAAAAGTGTAAGCTCTTACAAATGTAAATGCCTTGGCTGAGCATGTGATTATTAAATTTTTTACGAATTAAAAAAAGACAACTGTCTACACACTTTATAACAAATATCAACAGATCACAAGATAAAACAGCCAAACTCAAATTAGTCTCACAAAGAGCAAATAGGTCTAGCTAACTTTGCAAGAGATAAAACTCAAGAGAATAAAAGTTACTTCGAAGACCACAAATATTAGTAAATGATAGGTTTAGAGAACTCGGTAATGACTACGGTTTTTTGTGTTTTGTATTTATTGGTATTTGAACCATTTTTAAGTTTGTTAAAGAACTTGAATTGACTCTCATCATTTTCGTATTTGAACCATTTTTAAGTTTGTTAAAGAAATTGAATAGAACTCAGTACACTTTTTAGTAGTTCAAGATTAACTTCGAAAACACGATTTTCTGAATTATGTCGAAAACAATAAAAACAGAATAAGATGGAAAACTCGTTTTAACGATTAACATTAAAAATAAGATTTTCTGGTTAATGTCGAAAACAATAAAAACGGAATAAGATCGAAAATTTTTAATTGTCAAAAATTTTTTTTAATGATTAACATCAAAAATATGATTTTATGATCACACTTTTATTTTATAAAAAACTAGTACTAGGAGAAAATCTTAAGAAATTTTTAATTCTAAGTCACTTTTCAAAAAGAAACTTATTTAAGAGTTCGATGAATATTTCCTAATTTTTCACCCTAATTTCGCATCAGTTTAACAAAGTTAGCATTACCTACAATGGAGAACAGCAGTTTAAATGAACAGTTAATTTGCACGCGCAATAAACAGTTTAATTTGCACGTGCAATAAAATTCCGTTCGAATTAAAACTTAAAACTTAAGAAACTTTTAAGAAACTCAATATTCTAAAATGTCGTTAGAGAACTTATCAAAAAATTATAATGAAACTGAAGGAGGAAGAAAAAATTCAAATGTGTTTTGGTCTGGTGATTTTGGATACACTAAAGATAAACTTTATAAAGACAAACTGCATCTTAAGTGTCGTTTTTTTTTACAAGAATGAACTGCAAAAGCAGAGCTTTTATTAATGAAGATAAGCTTCAGGTTTCAACTGTTCTCAGTTGCAGTTCAAGAAAAACAGACTTTGAGGTGCTGCTTGCTAAAAGTACCATGAAAAAAAAAGCAGAAACAACATCTGAGGACCTGCACTTAATTTTTCAAAACACTTTAAGTGAATTTCCTGCAGTTGTTTCTGAATCGGTTAGTTTTCGTCAAATTATCCAAAGTCTTCAGAAAGGGAAAAGGCTAAATGAGCCTTCAAACCCAAAATCACCTAATGAAGCTGGTAAAGTTCTGAACGACAAAGAATGCCATCACTACGGAGACATTTTCTTGGGATCAGTTGAACAAGGACTACAGAATGCTTTAAAAATAACTTGGAGTGAAAGCTTGGTGAATGTTTGCAGGTATAAGCTATTACTTTGTTATTACTTAGTTTCCAGTTTCTAAGTTGTCCAAGTTTTTCAGAGTTTGTTATCAACTAATGATCTCCTTTAAACCCTTATCTTTAGGTTTCATTTCGAAAATGCAATCACCAAGCAATTAGCAATTCTTGGTCTTCAGAGGGAATACCGCCACCAAATTCAAGTAAAGAAGTGGGCACGAAAAGTTTCAGCACTTTGTCTCCTTCCTGCAAACAAGATCATGGTTGCTTGGGGATCTCGAGTTATTGAGATTGCACAATTTAGTCGTGAAATCAAAATCAAACTACTTGCTTTTAAAAGGTATTTTGAGAGTTATTGGCTCAATATAGTGATCCCGGAAGGATTCAGTGTTTATGGCTTGAACCACAAAACCAATAACAATGCAGAGAGTCTCAATAGACGTTTGAAATCAAACATGGTGACTGACATAGACGATTTTGGCAGTTTATGAAGTTGCTTAACCAGCATGTAATAGTCCATACAATTCAAGAGCTTCAACAGCTTGCCTGCAATCAGCCAGTCCGCCGTGACCAACGCGACTATGGTGTAATTGAAAAAATGCGTTGTTTTGAGAAAAAACTTCAAGACGGAGTTTGGACAACTCAGAGATTCCTATCAGCAGTATCATATCTCTTTCAAAACTTAAAAGAAGTGTGAGATAATTTTCCAAGTTTTTTTTAACACTTCTTATTTATTAACCTTTATCAATTTTTTTACCAAACTAATTAGTTAAACTTTATTTGATAATCTGTTATTTTCCATGACATATGGAAAATTGTATTTAAAGTTTCTAAATATTTTTAGTGCTTTGGATGAAAACTCAATAAACGAGGTTGGTGAGAGTCTTCCTTTGCCAACTTCTACTTCAACAGAGTCACCGAAATGCTTTGTTTGTACCGTTAATGAACGAAATACATTAGTAATGCCTTACAGACATTTTTTGTTTTTTCAGCCCTGCATTTAACAAGTCCAAAAAAGCAACACAGCTCATTGTCCCACTTGCCGAGGACCAATATCATCTATAATTGAACCTTTTCAATGATTCAGTAAAATTTTTCCTTTTACCTATATTTTTAAAACTAGAATGTCATTGTTTAAATTTATTTAAAAAAAATTATTATATAAAAGCGGTATAACTTTTTTCCTGTTGCTCCGCCTGGAATAAAAAATAATCAATAACGTCATTTTTTAGTTTACATAAATGACTTTAAATTCCATTTGGGCCTACAAGATTTTCCGTAAGTTGGCGTATTGTATTGGTTTTATTGGGGAAAGACCTACTAGCAACGGCACTGATTATCGCAAGCCATAAACACTATATAAACTATAAACACTATATAAACTATTAAATATTGGGGAAAATGAATATTTAGGGCTATTTTTTCTATAATGGCGTAGGGCTTGTTTATGAGATTGATGGAAATATGGATTAACATCAGAATTTTTTACAGAATACCAAGTTGTCTTACACAGAAGAAAGATGCCACTATAATCGGCTTTCATGGTAGACAGCAACCTAAAATATATCAGCTTTATGGTAAAGAATTGGTTTGAGGAGGAAAGGATTGAAGCTTAGTTACCAGATTTCGATCCCATTGATAAAATTATGGAATGGTGTACATGATGCTTGAGAGAGCATTTCTTTAAAATATTTTCAAGATCTGATCAACTCCGAAATATGTCGATGCTGTGACGCAGTGGTTAAAGCGCTAACCCTATAAACAAGTGATTCAGTGTTTGAAACGAGCTCTGGGTATATTTAGCCCCATCGGTAAAGAAGTAGGCGTTAGTTATAACAACTTTCTTATGCTCTTCCACTGTGCTCTATGACATGACCGTTAGGTCTTCTGGGGGTACCAAACCAAAAAAATGAAAAATAAAAAAATAGTGAAACTAAATAAGTAAAATATGCCAATAATTTAGGAAATTGATCCCCTTTCTCATTGCCATGCATATTTTTACGTTGAGTGCTCTTTCGTATATATATGTATGTGCGGTTTTGTATATATAAAAAAAGAAAACAGAAGTTCTCAAATAAAGCAAAAATGTTGAAAAAAAAAAAATAAATAATTATATTAACTAGGACCAGAACTTGGAGTTACCAGAACTTAAAGTTAGGCAGTACAAGGATGAGTAGGATTTGCGTGCAAGGAGACGCTAACACTCTTTCCTTATAGATTCTGAAAATTAATTTTTTTTATTGATTATTGATTAGCTGATTGATTATTGATTAGCTGGAAACTTATAGACAACGATGCATTCTATTTCTTTTAACAGAATCTGATGGTCAAAAGAAGGTTGTAATTATGCAAAATATAAAAAAGATTGATAGTAAGTTTATAATAAAAGATTATAAGCTTGTACTCACAAAAAAAAGATATTCAGACAAGATTTAGAAGTTAAAAAAATGTAAGCAAAGCTGTGCTCAAAGGAATGAAGCTGACTTTTAGGAATGGCTGACCATATTAATTAAAGTTTCGTTCACCGATCCATCATTAGAAACCATAAACCTGTTGTTAAATTTCTAAATCTTTAAGTAATTTAAAAACTTTTAAAAAATCTTTTAGTGCAAACTTCCAATGCAAAAGTTGTTGCTGAGAAATCTGTTAGGAATATTTAACTATTTGTTAAGAAATCAGTAAAAAAAGGTTTGCTGTTTTGAAAAGACTTTAGATGCTTTAGATATTTTTATTGACCTTTCAAAGAAAATCGATAAGTATATCACAAACCTTTGCTATGCAAACTTTATTTTGTAAGCCATTATGGAATGAACAAAAAAACTATAAAATGGTTTAAAGTTTTCCAAATAGAAAATTTAGTTTAAGTAAATGATTTAATTAAATCATTGAGTTAATTACCTTCATCCCAATTATTTTTTTTTTTAACATCTTCGCTTCCAACAAGGCTGCAAGCAACCACTAACTAGTGTTGGAAGTTAGTGGAAGAGAAAAGATGAAGATTGTAGAGGAAGATAACCGTTGACAGACCACTTAAAAGATTATATGAATCAGGAAAGCAAGATGAAGGAAGCCAGTTCCAAAGAACTGATGTTTGAGGAAAAAATCTAGAAGAATAAGAGTTTTTGGAGCACTTAGGAACAGTCACAGAAAAAAGATGAGGCTTAATTAAATGACGAGTAACACGAGAGTGAATTTTAGTAGATGGCACAAGTGACGCTACCTCTTTAGAGCAAAGCCCATGATAGTATTTGTAGAAAAGAGAAAAAAAAGCAACATAACAACGATGTGATAATGGTTGAAGGTTGACTGCAAGAGCAGGTCCAACTATGTTTACAATGCGTTTTTGCACCTTGTCTAAAAGAAAAAGGGCATCAGTAGAAGATCCGCCCCAGATATGGCAACAGGTTCCATACAAGGCCGGATTTGAGATTTATAGAAATAGAGAATAAAATCCAGAGCTAGAAAGTGTCAAGCTTGATAAAGAGGTGCAACTTTCGCAGATGCTAATTTTGCAACGGATTTGATATATGGTTTCCAAGAAAGATCAGAAGTAAGAGTTAGTCCTAGAAAATGAAGGGTAGATGGTTCATCAAGTACATTACCGTTCATAATTATAGGAAGATCTAGATTATTGCGATATCAATTGGTTGAACAAAATTGAGTTTTATCTGAATTAAAGTTCACCAGCCACTGTGATCCCCATGTTGTAGCAGAAGTGAGATCCTTTTCAAGCTCAAACGCCCCCTCCAAGCAATCAGAGAGAGTTGGCTATCATGACAAGAATAAATGATAGTTTCATAAGCAAACAATGCCACCTTGAATGTGAGAATATCTGGAAGATCGTTAATGTAAATTAAAAAGAGTATAGGGCCAAGGATTGAACCTTGAGGAAGCCCTGAAAGTTGCAGGATATGAAAGAAAAGAGCTATCTATCGAGGATAACTTTTATACTACAATTGGAAAAGAAGGTTTCAATAATCTTAAATATGTTTTCAGATACACCTTAAGTCGATAGATTATGGAAAAGAAAAGCATTCCAAACATTATTAAACGCATTAGAAATGTCAAGAGTGATGCACGATAAAATCTATCTCTTATTACTGTTAGCAAATCAGCCGTAGAACGAGAAGATCGAAATCTATCTTGATGATCAGAAAGTAAGTTATTAGATTCAAGATGAAAGATTAAGTGTTTGTTAATTAAAGGTTTGTTAGTTATTAGCAAGTAGACAAACTACCGTCATCCCGATTATCAGCAAGTGGACAAACATCAGCTTATAATAAATTAATTCACAATATAAAAAAAAAAATATATATAAAATACTTCTGGAAAAAGTTGTATACCTACAAGATTAAACTTTATTCTTGTTGAACTTAACTTAATAGTTTTTTTTCAAATAAAAAGCACATCCGAAACACCCTGAATAAAAAAAAGTACACCCTGAATTATAAACTCTATTACATCAAAATTTAAAAGTTTCAAATTTTGATGTAATAGAGTTAACCAAATTGTTCGTGTGAAAGCGTGTAGGGCGTATTAAACTCAATAATTATACGTGACATACGTTTCAACATATATTTCGATTAAAATGTTAATAAATAACCAAAAAAACGCTTCTCTTTATACATTTATACACGATTATTTATGCCATATAATATTTCCCCAAGAGAGATATTATAGGTATTTTCTAACTTTTTAATGATCTATATACAAAATTCGTTAATTGCCTCATTAGCTAAGGAAATCTCTAATGTCAATATATGACGCTTAGAGACGTTTATAATACAGCTATATTGTTTACATTAAACTACTATATACACTAATCGCCTCGTGAACATATTTCTCCCTTTTGACCAAATAGTTAACATCTTCTGGTTTATTCGGCTCGAGAGGGCACAACTTGGTTATCGGATGTTTCAAGATAATCTTGGTAAAATAACTTGAACATTGGCGACACGCACTAACCCATTGTTTCCAGGGAAAACCTCAGTTACCCGACCAAGTGGCCAATTGCCTCTTGAAGTATTTTCGGAGATTACCAATACCAGATTGTCTATCGATAAGTTTCCCATTAAAATATTCCTTTTTTTTTTGTAGTCCAAGCATGGGTAACCATTCTTTCATCCAGCGATGCCAAAAATGTTTTATTAATTCTTGGACTCGTCGCCATTTTCTTTTTAGGTTGAATGAAGTAATGTCTACTGCATCAGCGGCAAACTCACCACCTAATTGTTCAAATGAAAAATGATTTGGTGTAAGGGGTGAGCAGTCTTTAGGATTACTCAATTGATAAGTCAATGGTCGTGAGTTTATAAGTCCTTCTGCCCCGGCAAACGCTGTAATAAGTTCTTTGTCAGTAAAATGCGCATTTCCCCGTCGGGAATAAATTGCTCGTTTTTCGGCTTTTATCATAATTTCATGAACTCCTCTAAAATGAGGGGCTGCTGGTGGGTTAAAATGCCATTTAATATCAACATGGCTTGTTGCCTCGTTTATTATTTTCTTTTAGCAATCAGTGAAACTTTGTAGCTCTTTGTTTGCTAAAACACAGTTGCCTACATTGTCCAATATCATTTCTTTTTGCGTTCCTCTTCGACAGCTCATCCTAAATAACGCATTTAGAAATGAGTCGGCGTCCAACGCAAACGCTATTTCAAGGTGAACTGCTCGTGAAGTCAAGCAAGTAAACAAGGCTAAATAACATTTTGTCGGTTTTTTCCTCTTCCTTAAATGGTTATGAACGGAAAACCATAATCAACAGCACACTTTTCAAAGACCTTTATACTACACTGCAAACTTTTTGTTGGTAATGGTGACGTTTTGTTGCGTTGCTGACTTTGCGTTCTTTGCTTGCATTCTGTACACTCCGCTTCCCATTTTTTTATCTCTTCTCTTCCAGATACTACCCAATACTTTGAAGTTTTGAGATGTACTTTAAGAGCAGTCGTTTACTCGTAAGTGGTTCTGATGGTAGAGTGTAATTAAATGTAAACATATCTTTGGCTGCTTCCCAAGATACGTCCAGTGTTTTCACTGTAGGTAAGTTCTCTATGTTTATTTTTTTTGCTCTAGCTTCAATAGGAATGCATTCCATCACTGTTTTTGAATGAGAAATCCATTTTCTTGCGGTCATTCCCGCCTTTTTCCACAGTTGTGTAAGTTGCTTATATAGTTCAATTGCTTTTTCTTCGGTTTCAACTGAATCCATACTGTCATTCATATATGTAGACTTATCAACAGTCTCCGCAGCCAGTGGAACCTCTTTTAATATTTCTCTGTATGTTTTTGTATTTCAAACTGTGCTTGAATAGGGATGGAATCGACACCAAATACAACTCTTGTAAATTCAAATGTCTCAGGGTTTTTATTTTCTTCTAGATCCCGCCAAAGAAATCTTTGATCTTTCGGATTCATCTTACTTTGCAAGTACATCTCTGTGATACCCAGCAAAGCGACTGCGTTTCTTTGGGACCGCAACAGAACGAAACAGAGATCTTGTTGCAGTTTTGGTCCTTGATGGATGACGTCATTCAGCAAAACACCTTGGCATTTCGCAGCAGCGTCAAAAACAATTCTGACTTTTGTGGTCTCTTTTTCCAACTTTACGACGCTGATATATGGGAGGATCCATTGATTTTCGCATCATTTTTGCTTACTTTTTTGATATAACCTTTTGTTAAGTAGTTCCGTATTGTTTCTTTGTAAATTTCTGTCATTTTCGGTGTTCTTTTAAGCCGTTTTTTCGTACTTATTAATCAATTTACTGCCATTTCATAGTTGTTTGAAAACGATTTTGGATTCTCTTTCCAAGGAATGCCATTTTCATATCGTCTATCCACATAGTTTATTGAATTTTGAGCTCGATATAGGGCTTTTTTATCTTCAACACTTCCAGCTTGCGTTTCTGATGTTGGATGAACATTTTTGATTTCCCAAAATGTTTTTAGTGTTTCATTAATTTTTTCAACTTCGGAAATATTTTTAGTTAACGTCTTAGTGTAGCAAGTATAATGATTTTGAGTACACCCAAGCGCCCCAACACATGTCCATCCATTGGATTTCCAGTGAGCCCTTCAACTTTTGTTTTCAATGAGTGAAGCTTAGCCTTATCCAATCCATTATGAATATCTACAATTGGTCGCTGTCCTAATCTGTAAAATGGTATAGTTTTTAGATGATTCCAATGGTTTTTATATTTATTCCAATCCACCACGTGCATGTTATTCGTAACTCTATCAACTGTTAATGCATTTATCTTCTTTTTCAATTTACCATCAATGCTTTGCAACTGAAAATCAACCGGCACTGTTTAAAATGTGTCTACTCTACCATTGAGTACATTATTCTTAATTTCTTTCATTACTCCTTGTAATTCAAGTTCAGCAGGTGCATCACTGTTTATACAGGTTTGGGTACTAGCATCATCCAATAGAGTGTTGACTTTTATCGACCGTTTTCCATTTGTTCAAATGACTAGTAAAGTTCTCATAGCCACATTTTAACTTTGACCTTTGCTCGAAAACATGGTAAGAAGACTTGTTTCTTTCTTTTTTTCTCTTGTTCGTTTCTTTAAATGCAATAGTCTGTTATGAACTTCTTGACAACCATCTGTTCCACATTTTCTTGATTTCTCGCATTTTTTTCCAACATGATCATTACCTAAACAACAATAACATAGATGATGAAATTTTGCTTGTTACCATCTTTTATTTACTGCCATCGATTTGAACTTTTCATATTCCCAAACTGCATATTTACCATCACCAATTTGGCACGTTTTTGTTACATCGCCTTTGGGCTTTTCTCCAAAGTATGTTCTTTGTCTTTCTTTAAAGATTTTAAAGGGTTTTTCTTGATTATACTTTGTATCTTCCAAACCACATAAGGTTTCCTGGGGAACTGTATAAAACTCCGCTTCTTGAATAATCCATTCTCGCAATGATTTTAGCCCAGAACTTTTTTTCTTTTTTCAAATAACCATCGTAAAAATGCACTTAGCATTGTTTTTGGTAACTTTCTTATAAGTTTAATGTAGAGTGAGCCATCTGCTAAATCTTCGAATTTTTCCAATTTTTTTAAATTTGTGACTCCAATGTCAAACATATCAGCAACGCTTTCAAGATCATTTGGGTTGTTTGGTTTTACTGGACTAAAGTTTCCAAGCTCTCCAAATACAAGGCAATTTGTCGTTGTTTGACCCCATACTTTCTTTCGAGTCGATCTTTTGCATCTTCGTACGCAGCTTTTGAATACCCCAAACCTTCAACAACTTTTGAAGCTCCTTAAAGTACACTCTAAAAACAGTCCGTTAAAAAAAGTAACGGATTGCGCTTTTTCGTTAAATTAACGGATTAATTCGTTACCGAAAACCAGAAAATTAACGGAGTAAAATTAACTATTTTCGCATTCTTTGAAATTTCGTTAATTCAACGGATTAAATATTCTAATCGGTCAGAAAAAACTTTTCAGTATATTATAGCTTTTTATTTTGAAAGTAATAAAGATTTGAATGCGTTTTTCTCACATATTTTCTATATAAAGCTTTATATAAAAAATTTAACAATAAGGTTTATTTTGTTTTAAATTAAAAGCCATTAGTATTACTAAATAATATATAATAACATATATGGTAAGTTAATACATGTCTAAATCTAGAAAATTATGCAAGAATATATGCCATCCATGTAGTCTATATTATATAAATAAAAGTTCAATTAATCCTTTACTAGTAGTAAAAGGTTAGTTGAACAATTATTTCTATAATATAGACTAAATGGATTATTTATAGTCTTTTTTAACTTTATATTTTAGACATATGACATGTAGTAACATACCATATTAGCTTAAATCAGTTGTAAAATTAAAAATGTTAACATCTTTGATAGGTATATTTATTTAGGTTAGTTACAGCTAAGTTTACATGGCTAGTTAATATGTTTTTATAAATTGCAATTTTTATTAATTTCCAAATTAAACATGTGGCATCCAATATCATAAACTAAGTTTATACTGGTGTGTTTATATTATTTTAGAATTTTTTGTTTTAGACACATGGCGTTTGCTATCCCACTGTAAGTTAAAACTAGTTGTAAAATTAAAAAATTTAATTATTTATTTATAATTCTATATAATTTTATATTGGAACTTCTATTTCTTTTAACATTCATCTTTATTTAATTGAGTTACAACTAAGGTTATATAAGAGTTATTTATAATATCTGTCACATTGTAGGTGTCACATTGTAGGTTTAAATTGGTTGTAGAATTTATATTGTAACTTGCATACTTATTTAGTTGAGTTTAATCTAAGTGTATATTTGATGTGTTTGTATTATTTTAGAATTTACTGTTTTAGACACGTGGCATGTGGTATCCCACTGTAAGATTGAATTAGTAAATTTAAAAAAAATTGTATTTTAACTTGCATTTCTTTTGGCATGCTTATTTATTTAATTTAGTTAAGACTAAGTTTATATCACACTTTTTTAACTATTATTCTGCTATATTCACTATTTTAGAATTAGCTATTTTAAACATGTGACAAGTGGTATGACACTGTAAGTTTAAATAAGTTGTAAAATTAATTTTTTTATATAGTTGCTTGCATTTTTTTTGGTCTGCATATTTAATCTTGTTTTGATTTATCATAGTTTTTAAAAGGTTAGAGACCTTATTTTTTGCTCCTGATAGGTATTGATGTATGTGAAATGTATGTGAGTCTTTCAGTTATCAGATAACGTCAAGGTAATCTTACTTTTTTTTATTTTACATTTTAATAAAGGCAAAATTTACTTGTTCCATTTAACTTTATCTTTAGAAAACGATATCAGAGATAATTAAAATAACAAAATTTAGAATAGAAATTTATATATAATGAATTACCAAAAAAAAAAAACATTTTCTATAGTGTTATCAGTAACATTTTATTTTGGTTCTATACTAGGTATGTTATTAAATTTCCATATTTTTTTTATTTTATTTTATATTATTCTTTAAGGAGTTGACAGCATGGTGTTCGATTTAAAGTGCAAACCTGTGTACGAGTAACAACAGTATTCAAAACCAAAACCTATTTAAACCAACCAAACCAAAACTAGCGACCAAAAACTAATATCTTGGCATCGATTTATTTTAAACATCTATTATATATATGACAGGCTTGGTCGGGAAGCGGGTGCGATTACACTCGATAACTGACCACGGAAATAATATTTAGTTGCGAAAAACCGACCAGATTTTTTAGTTGTTTTGAGAAGATTTAAGTTTATGTATGTTTCCTTGTTTGTCCGCAAAATGATAAGTTCATTTTATCGTAAATTTTAAAATATTTTGTTTTACGGACTTACATGGAAACATACATAAACTTGAATGTTCTCAAACATCTTAGTGCAGAAAAATAAAAAAAGAATATTCGCGAAAACAAAAAACGCGCCAAATCTACGAACAACTAGTTCTATTGGTTCAAAAAATACTAACCGAAATTTCTAGAGTATTCAGAAAATACTAACTGAATATACTAAGCATTCTGTTGAAAATAATTTTAAAAGTTGTATTATTTGAATTTTGTTACGTTTTCGTGAGATTTCTAGCATAAATTATTTAAAGAATATGCTATCAAACGAACTATTATTTTAATTCTTAGAGCCACATCTACAAAGCTATAAGTGTTTTAAACTAACATTATTTGTTTACAATAATAAATGTTTTAAATTTATATTTTTTAACTTGTCAACGTTTTGTAAATATATTAGATTTTATTGGTATATTCTTATTTTATATATATAAGGGATGTATTTTTTATGTATGTAATGTATTTTTATGTATGTAATGTATTTTTATCTATGTAATTTTATGTAAGTCTATTTTACTCAAATGTAATCTTTTAAAGCAATTTGTGCGATTGATTTTGTAAACAAAAGTACTTTCAACAATAATTGAGTTTTCAATGAAATTATTAATAATCGTCAAAGTTAAAACAAATAATTTTAACCACTAATCCATTTTCCTCAGTTTTCAACTTCAAATTTCGAACTTGATTCCGAACTGATTCTTTCCTCCAAGAAAAGAAAGTTTTTAAGTTCTTAGAAATTGGTTTACTAACTTCAATTATTTTTGCTTTAGCCATTCTTACAAACTCTTTATAGTTAAAGTTACTTTTTTCTGTTTTAAATACTAATTAAAATTATAAAGTCCACTCGCTAAACATCTGATGATGTTTATTGTGAAGTTATTGTGAAGCAGTTCCGCTTCCTCCTCACAAAGTAATTGAACGTTTTTAGTTAATTTCTATCTAGCTAATTGAATTTCAACAGTAACTCAATGATTTAATTATTTCATTTGTTCATCTTACTAAAACAAATTGTTTCAAATGTGTTAAACTTTTTAAACAACGCGAAGCATAAAACAGTTATTGAAAAAACTTTTTTTATTTGTAAATATTTCATTTAGCGTTAGTTTTATTGGTTGAATCTTGTTGGACTTTTCAGGGTCGGGGGCTGCATAATTCTGGCGGCCTTTTTTTGTGCCACAGCGTAAAAATGACTTAAAAAAATACCGAATGGTTCTCATGACTATTTCCCCTAACATTGTTAATCCCAGGGCTATAGCCCTACTACCCCCGCCCCACCTTTTCAATCCGCAACTGGAAATAAGACATAAGTATATAAATAAAAATTATATATACTTTTTGATAAATGGAAGAACATTTGTTTCTTTAAAGTTGTTACTTTATTTAAAAAGTGTCGCTTAGTTTTATAAAAAAAATTATAAAAGAGCGACGTTTCAAAAATAATTGCTCTAATAAATTTATTTTGCTTAAAGTTTTTTTGCGTTAAAAATTTTTTAACTGTCTCTCATCAGTCCAGTTAATCTTATTGCGCTTTTTTGTTTGTTTCTCAAAATGACTAAAAGATCTGGCCGGTTTTTCGCAACTAAATATTATTTCCATGGTCAATTATCGAGTGCGATCGCACCCGCTTCCCGACCAAGCCTGATATATATATATATATATATATATATATATATATATATATATATATATATATATATATATATATATATATATATATATATATATATATATATATAAAATATATATATATATATATATATATATATATATATATATATATATATATATATATATATATGTATGTATATGTATATATATATATATATATATATATATATATATATATATATATATATATATATATATATATATATATATATATATATGTATATATTAATCCTTATAAAGATTTAATACTCTGGTATTTGACGTTTCGAATGTTTTAATGCTCATTTCTAGAAACTCCCGTCGGGGTAACATCCTCAAAACAAGCAAATAAAACTTTACGTCTGCGTCAAAGCTTTCTAATGTTGCAATATTTGAGAGGACATACTAATGCTCAGCCAAATACCCTAACTTGATCCATTTTAAACAAAGTACGCTGATATATTTTTAAGAAAATTATTAAAACTCGTTGCGCAAGAAGTAATGTTAGAATACAAAAACTTATAAGTTAATTATTCCTAAGTACTAAAGTACAAATTTAAAGCAAACAAACACATAATAAAATCAAAAACATTTAAGATAAAACACTTACCATAATTTGATATTGAATAAGAATAAGTCATGAAGGATATTTTGTGCAATGCCAATGCTCAGTAAAAAAAAGACGTCGAGCCGTACAGTGACTCAAAACAACAAAAAAATGGCAATAAACCCCTCACCACCATTTTATAAATTAAGTGCCCTTTGTTAGATAATATTAAAAGACAATGATTTTTTATTTCAAAAATAACAATAATTTTTTCATAAAGCTTTTTTTTTTGTATTTTATAGGTAAAAGAAGTGAAAAAATTTGATATTAATTTTTAAAGAGATCTAAAAAATGTTAGGTTTTTATTCAACTAAGTTAGAGAACTTGAAATTTAAATAAAAGTGTATATTTATTTTTAAAATAATATTTATAAAATAATATCTATATATTTCAAATATACTAAAAAGAAAAAAAAAAGTCTGATTTTTTCGTTTAAATTTAAAGACTTCTCTAAAAAAAAGTAGAAAATAATTGTATTTTTTTTCGTTTATATATCAGCTAAAAAAATGTTCCACCGAGTTCCACAAATATATAAATATATATATATATATATATATATATATATATATATATATATATATATATATATATATATATATATATATATATATATATATATATGTATATATATATACATATATATATATATATATATATATATATATATATATATATATATATATATATATATATATATATATATATATATATATATATATATATATATATATATATATTATATATATATATTCCAGTTAATTATTATTTCTACTTTAGGAATGTAAAAGGATTACTGCGGTCTCCTGCGGTATTGGAAGTTATTAAAGAAAAACAAATGTAGATGATTATATAAAAACCTTGTTTTCCGCCATTTTGCTAAGAACTTTATTATATCAAAACAAATGAAATTGGCGGGAAACTTAAAGTTAAGTTTCTTGCATGTAGAACTTGTTCTAATACAGTTTTTAAATCATAAATATTAAATATAGTTTTAAAAAATGTGCTTTTGTCATTATATACTATTTAAAAGTTTGTTAAAATATTTATTAACAATTTTAAAGAACGATTTATTATTCGATAAGTACAACATGTTTGAAAAAACTTAATTGAACAACTTTGGTATTTCCCGTTTCAAGAAATACCAAATTGTCACATCCTGTAATAACACATATTGCTTAGTTAACTTTATATTACATGTAATATAAAGTTAACTAAGTAATTATCGAGTGCGATCGCACCCGCTTCCCGACCAAGCCTGATTTATATATATATATATATATATATATATATATATATATATATATATATATATATATATATATATATATATATATATATATATATATATATATATATATATATATATATACATATATATATATATATATATATATATATATATATATATATATATATATATATATATATATATATATATATATATACATATATATATATATATACATATATATATACATATACATATATATATATATATATATATATATATATATATATATATATATATATATATATATATATATATATATATATATATATATATATATATATATATATATATATATATATATATATATATACATATATATATATATAAATCAGGCTTGGTCGGGAAGCGGGTGCGATCGCACTCGATAACTAAGTAATTATCGAGTGCGATCGCACCCGCTTTCCGACCAAGCCTGATTTATATAAATATATATATATATATATATATATATATATATATATATATATATATATATATATATATATATATATATATATATATATACATATATATATATATATATATACATATATATATATACATATATATATATATATATATATATATATATATATATATATATATATATATATATATATATATATATATATATATATATATATATACATATATATATATATATATATATATATATATATATATATATATATATATATATATATATATATATATATATATATATATATATATATATATATATATATATATATATATATATATAATATAAAGTTAACTAAGTAATATGTGTTATAATATAAAGTTAACTAAATAATATAAAGTTAACTAAGTAATATGTGTTATTACAGGATGTAACAATGTGAAAATTGTTAAAAGTCATAACAAGATAAAATTTGAAACAGTGTAAAGTAAAAAAATATGTAATGTAATTTAAAATGTGTCATATATATTTGTTTTATTATATTGTTCTTAAAAACAATAACGACGAAAAGATTAGATCCTATCCCAAATATACGTAAATTGATAGGAGTTGATAAATTAAAATTATGGAAGGATTTACTTAATGAAATAAAAAATACTGAAAAAATTCGCAAAGAAAACTTAAATAAAGTTAAACTTGCTTTAGTTGTATTTATTTCAAAGGTGAAGAAAAAACTAAAACAATGTAGACGAAACTATGATCATTTATACAAAAAGAAAATGGTTGGCTTCAAAGAAATCTTATGAACAATAAAAATAGCCATTTTGATTCAGGAAGGCCCCATAAACAATGGAGTGTTCTTGGAGAGAGAAGCACAAGAAAGAAAAAAAAAAGAACTAGCCACTGAACATTATGAAGCTATATTTTTAGCTTCTGCAAAAAGTGCAAATGCTGCTGGAGAAAAAAAAAAACCTCTGTTTAAAAAAAACAATATATCTAATGTTTTAGAGATAAAAAAAGTTGATAAAATTTTGGATAAAACCTTTCCCATTAACATGAGTGTAGAGTATGCTCTTGCATTAAAAATGAATACTGATTTCAGCGATAAACAATATCAAATGATCAGACACTCAGCTCTTGTACACAACGTACATATTTATCCTACCTTGCACGATATTTTCGTAAAAAAATTGAAATGCTATCTTGAGAATATACATTTTTCTGAAATTTCTGCAAAGTGTACTCTTCAAAGCATGTTAGATCACACTGTGAGTAGAATAACAGAAATGATTGACATACCTAATTTTGGTCAAAGTAATGAAATATTTGGAGTTTTATATGGAAAGATTGGTTTTGATATAGCATCAAGTCAAAGTATTTATAAACAGAAATGCGATACAAGCAACGCAAGTATAGAACTTAAGCATGAAGAAAATCTTTTCAGTAAAGCTTTTGTGCCTTTATTGCTCTAAGTAGAAAATAGCGAAATTTGGAAAAATGAAAATCCTTCAAGCTGTCACTTTTGTAGACCCCTTCATCTACAATATAAAAAAGAGTCCAATTTTATCCAGAGAAGAAGAATCAGATCTAAAAAATCAAATAAATACCTTATAGACGTTTTGCAAAGTTTTTAATTTTGCAGGAAGAATTTTGACATTTAATATCAGTTATAAGATTGATCTTACAATGTTTGATAATAATATAGTTAGTGCACTTACAGAGGCAAAATCCAATCAATCCTGCAATGTGTGCAATGCTAATCCCAAGGAAATGAACAATATTGATTTATTAAAAGCAAAAACTGAGTATGACTCGGCCTTAGGGCTTGGAATTTCAGCTTTGCATTGCTGGATAAAATGCTTGGAGGTCATTCTTCATTTGAGTTATAAAACTGAAATTAAAAAGAGCTAAAAACAATTAAGGAAAGACTATCTCTAGACTTAAAAAAAAAAGAGATTCAGGTACTCTTCAGAAAACGGTTAAGCCTATAAGTTGATATGCCTAAAACTGGGTCTGGAAACACGAATGACGGCAACACTGCCAGAAGAGCATTTAGAAATAGTGAAGTTTTTTCTGAAATTACTTAAGTTGATTGTGATATATTTAAAAGATTGCATAATATTCTCATAACCATATATTGTGGATATCCTATTAATATCAATGAATTAGATTCATACTGCACTGAAAGAGCTAAACGTATAGTGAGTTTATACAACTGGTATGTTATGCCTCCTACTGTACATAATATGCTACTGCATAGTTCTTCTATATCAAATAAATTACTTTTGCCAATCGGGGTATATTCGGAAGACGTACTAGAGAGTTTAAATAAACAGATAAGAAATTCTAGATTTAAGCACACGGCAAAAATATCAAGGTTAAACACAATGATGAATCAGATGCACTACCTTCTAGTAAGATCAGATCCAAAAATCAAACATATCTTTTAGAAAACATAAAAGTTATTGAGGAAAACCATTACCAGATGAAGTTTTTAAATTAATTGTAATGAAAATAATAAATTTAATTTAAAAAAATACAGTATTTTTTCTCTATGTATCAACATCCTTTATAAACCATTTTTATAGAGGATTATTAAGTAGAGTAGTATATCAAAATTATGTATTTGTCTTGAAGATTCTAAAAACTAAAAAAAGAAAAATTTGTACGCGTATATACGCGTATCTTTAACACACGTAAGCGCGCATTTTACGCGTCGAAGCTGCGCGTTAAAAAAAATTATTAACAAATTTGAAATCTTTGACTTAAAAATTATTATTTTAATATGTAACATTATTTATTTACAATTTATGTCAATTTTTATTTAATTTTTGCCGTTTTTTGATTGTCCTGAGTCACTGTGCGACGCAAGTTAACTAAATTTTAACAATATTTCAACGTCGGCATAACGGTGTTATTCTAACGTAGTCTACCAAACGTTGGAACAACTTCGAAATAACGTCATCATCTAACGTCTTAAATGTTAACATTAAAACGACGTTGGAACAACGTTGGTTGTTTACTTTGGAACAACGTTGCTTTATTTACGTTTTTATTTTTGTCATCAAAGTAACGTCAGCATTCCAACGTAAACACAAAAAAACTTGCGCATTATAAAATAGTTGGAAAAGCGTTATCGAAAAGAATGTTATTTTTAATCTGGTTTTAGGCATTATGATCTGTAATACTAATGTTTATTACATTATTTTTTTATATTCTCTAGTCGAATTATATATATAGTTTCTAAACATTGTAAAGTTACAAAAACTTTATTGACTTTCATAAATTTTTAAAACGTTTTTGTTTTTATATTTAACATTATGTAGTAAAAATTTCTTACATTTATAGTATTACACATAATATTTAATTTAAAAATAAGGTATGCAAAAATAGTATTTTAAATGCCCATTATTAAACTACTTAATAGTTTAGTTAAATGTCAATAAAAATTTAGATTTTATTTTTTATGACATTTCATTTAGCTGTTTTACATATTATCTTATTTTATTTTTAGTTTCCTAATAAGCTTTCTTATAACTCGTGTACTGTGTTTCTTGTATGAATTTTTATAGTAGTTTTTTTTTATTCAAAGATTAGTTTTTGCTTTTTTTTAACTTGTTATGAAAATAAAATAAAAACAAGATTATAGAATTTTTATTATTATCACGTGTATTTTTCTTAAACATTAAAAATTGCTTTTAGTAAGTTTTTAAATTTTTTTTCTTCATAGAATACATAGTTATATAATAAATAGTTATATAATATAGTTAAACTTAAATTTTCATTTTTTTTGAAGTAAACTGATATAAATAATATAAAACTTTTATAAGAAAAATTATTTTTATATGTATATTTATATATATATATTTTTTATATATATATATTATATTATATATATATATATATATATATATATATATATATATATATATATATATATATATATATATATATATATATATATATATATATATATATATATATATATATTTATATATATTTTATATTATATATATATATTTATATATATATATTATTTATATATATATATATTTTTATATGTAAAACTTTTATAAGAAAAATTATTTTTTTCAGAATTAAACCAATAAAAGTTACTTTTAATAAAAGTAACTTTTATTGGTTTAATTCTGAAAAAAATAATTTTTCTTTGGCACCCTATAAAGAAATGCTATTATATCTAAATAATGTCATTTAGAGTGGCTTGTGCAAGACAAGGTCTCCTTTTACACCATCTCTTGAGGTTGAGTCAAAGGGAAAGTTTTCAAGTTTCATAAAAAGGTAAAAATAAGTTTTTTAGTTGTTTACATATTAGGTTGTTTTTCATTTATTTATTTTTTTATTTTATTGATATTTACCTCCCCGTGGCTGAGATAGGCTCTACAGTTGAGTATGGATAATTGTTGTTGCAACTAAGGGTTTGGAGTCATAAAAATAAAGTACCAACTCCGATTGCAATTTTTGAAACTTTTAGAGTACGACTCCAGCTCTGAATCCAAAGCAAAATTTGTGAAAAATTCTTTGAACTTTTAAAAAAGTCATACGCAATATAAAATTTTTTTTTGAGCCAAATGAAAATGAAAATTCTTTGAAGATATAATCACATGCAATACCCAGAAGTTTTACTATTAGAGATGGAGTCACAATTTTGTTTAGCGGTTCCGACTCCGATACAAATGTTGCATCTCCAACTCCACAGCCCTGGTTACAACCCTCTCAACTATTTAATTCCAAAACAGTATAATGTTCTTTTTCAGGTAATTTTTAGTTATGCAGATATAACTTTTGTATTTTGTCAAATATATTTTTACGTATTACATTTGCGTTCAGAACATTGTTGGTAGAAAGTTATAAAAACATGTTAAGGACTTAGTTCAGAGGTAATTTTTGTATTTCTTTATTTATATTTTTATTTATTACATTTATATTTAGAACACTACAGGCATTATGACCAACTGCAAAAATTTTGTTAATTCTAGTTTTAAAATTTCATTATATAAGTTTGGTTGGATTTTGGTTGCGGCAACCAAATTCCAATTATGCTCCAACATTGGCATAACAGTGTTATCCTAACATTCCTATATCTAACACTGGAGCAACGTCAAAAAAATGTTGTCAACTAACATCTGCAATGTTAACGATAAAACAATCTTTGAACAAGGTTGGTTGTTTAACATTAAGCCAATATCAATCTGATTGATGTTAAAACAGTGCGAATCAAACTAGCATAAGAGTCATTCCAGCTTAATTCAATTTATGCTCGGCACCATGCCATCTCAGATTTTGCTGATTTTTGGAATACAAGCTTGAATTAATAAAAGAAAACTTCACTCCAAATTTTAGTGTCTAACTCCTTACATTTCAGAGATATTAATACTTGGTCCCAATCTCTTTTTTGACTTTTTTTTTAGCGCCATTTATTTTTTAGGCTCATTACACGATACAATTAGCTTTAACTTGGGAAATACTTGTTTAATAGTGGTCAAATTTTCGACTTAGCTATTTTTCAGGGTGAGGAACTTAAAAATGATGACTAAAACACACAAAAATTCAAGCTTCTGGGTAAAAATCTCTCAAAAAACAAGAGGTTGCACCCTGCATCACCGAATTCGCTGAAATTTGGCACAAATGTTTAAAGATATAATTTAGGTAAGACTGTAAAATTTTTTAAAACTATTCTGAAACCTTTAAGAATTATAGCAACTTCATGTTATTAATTTTTGATTGAAAAAAGAGGGGGGATAAAGCCGGAAATATGTCAATTTACCATAACCCTTTTAACAAACTTGTAGTAATGTTGCGGAGCTAAAACTTGGTACCAAAGGAGTTTAGAACTTGCCAAATCTGAAAATTATAAACTTATATTTCTCAAAACAAAATGTTTATTTTTAGATCTACAAAACGCACTTGGTAATGACAATAATAAAGGCCATTGACAATTATAGTTCTAGAAAAAATCTGATTGATGAAAAAAAGTTTTGGTTTTCATTATTTTAAATATTAAACATATATCTGCTTTGCAAACCAATTTTTTTTGGCCTTATGTTTTATCAAGGAGTTATTAATGTTTTAGTTTTTCAATTTTTCTAAAGAAATTTTGCAAAAAAAAAAATTTGCAAATTTTATTTTTTTTCAATTATTTTTGTTTTGTGATAGCTTTGTAAAAAATTTACAAAGTTATTACAAAACATTTTATAAATTTGTTTCTTTTTACTTTCATTACATAATAATAATAATGTCATTTTCATTACATAATATCTTGTCATAAATTTAACAATATTATGTAACTTTTGTTGTTGATTGTTTTGTTGTAATAAAACATTTATTATCATCAATAAAAAAAGTAATAAAATTATATAATAATGTCTAATTAACATTACCATGTTAAGTTACAACTAAATAAATTTATAATTAGTTATCTTTTACTTTTACACAACTTTTTGTAAGTAGTTAATGAAGAATTTACAATAATTAGTAGATTGTGATGCGGTAGTGGTGTAGTGGTAAGAGCGCTCGCTTTGTAAGCAAGCGGTTCGGAGTTGGACTCCCACGACGTCCCTGGAAGTACCGTGCTCAACTTGTCAAGGTTCGTGTTTCGGAGTTAAAGAGTTGAGAGAGGGTTGTACCACGATTTACAACAAAACAAAAAAACAAAAAAACAAAATGAGTAGCCTCCTCGACTGTAGTGGCCCCCTCGGGCCTTGGTGAGGTGAATAATTAAAAAAAAAAAAAAAAAAAGATAGTTGGGCATTTAAAATATGTCTGTTAAACTAATAGCAACTTGTTCAAGCAATATGTTCTTTATAAATACATATTGATATGATATTGTTTGTGTTCAAGTGTACTCTTCTTGTTAGGGACATTAAGATTATTTAAGATTTCTTGTATTAAGTGTTTAGACTTAGATTGGATAACAAAATTAATTGATGCTTTGTAAAAAATTATGTAGCTTGTTATAAACAATCATATACTCAAAAAAGTAATTTGATTGAAGATATTGACAGCAATGATCGTAAGCTACTTGAAAAACGAACAAATCTGAAACAAGAACAAATTACTAATATGCACACCCCATCATGATATGTTAGTTGTAAGATATGAGGGTAATCAGAAAAGTTGCTGTAATTCATTTCTGAGTCACCAAAAGGTGTGTAGAGGTAAAAATTTATATATTTATATTTCATTAGGTAATATCATTATTATTAAGGCATTTAAGTTTTTTTGGTAATAAACTTTGTTCAATGTTTCATAGTTATTAATATAACAAATTGTATAGTAATATAATTACATAATATATGTTATACATTACTTAAATGTTATTTAAGTAATGTAATTACTTTCTTTTTAAGCATCTCTACGTGTGTTTTCAATGCATACTTTGTTAGAAGCAGAAACCATAGGTTTAAATCTTATACCTGTTGAAGTAAAGTTATAACATGTATATCAAAAAGTATAAGTGAAAATAAAAATGATGAAGATTTTGATATTGTTAATGAAAGATCCATTCAAAATAAAAAAGAAAGTGTAGATACACAAGTCAGGTATAATCAGAGAAAGTAAACGAAAATTGACAGCATTAACAACCTCCATTAAAATAAAGGTAGCCTTTTCCCTTAAAATATCAAAAGGAAGTTTTGAAGAACAGTCAAGTTTTAATAATGAGTATATGAAAAAAGCAAACTTGTTTGATAAAATGATGGTATTGTTAACAAAATTGCAACATCAAAAAAAGTACAACTTGCGACACACAGAATTGTTACTTTATATTGTCTGTGATATAACTAATAAAGACTGTATGATGAGGAAATGTAAAAAATGCCCAGCAACTATGAATACATTGGTTGAAAAACTTTATGATATACTTGGAGAATTTGAAGATGATGATGAGATTGAGTTTGATCAATGGGCAACAACAGATAGGTCAGACTTGACACATAATAAAGAGCCAGTGTTTGATTACATTGAACTAGTATGTATAAAACTGGAAAAACTTGCACCACATTCGTATTTAGCAAAGAGTCAAGCATTATACCTGAGATCAAGAAAGGAAGATATGAATGAGGAAACAGCATTATTTCTGGGTGGTTTTTCAGAAAACTATAAATTTGTAGTTCAGGATGATATGCAAAGCTTTTATTGGACAAATTTACAATGTACACTTCATCCAGTGATTATTTATTTCAAAAAAGAAGGCATTCTTAAGCACAACTCCTATTGTATTATTTTGGATGATATGATCCATGATGTGAACATGGTTTATAAAATTATTGAGGTTGTTTGCAATGATATAAAATCAAACTTGCCTCAAATAAAAAATATTGAATACTTTTCAGATGGGTGTGCAGGTCAGTATAAGAATTGCAAAAATATGTTAAATCTTTGTTTCCATTGTGAAGATTTTGGTTTTACTGCTAAATGGAACTTTTTTGCAATTAGTCACGGTAAGCAACTTTGTGATGGGATAGGTGGTACAGTCAAACGTCTGGCAACACTAGCAAGTTTGCAAAGAGATATGGGTAATCATATTTTATCTCCACAAACAATGTATAAATGTTGCAATGAAAACATTGAAGGCATAAATTTCATATATATTTCATCAGAAGATTTAACTTTGGTGAGAACCGCTCTTAAAGAACGATTGGATGCTGCTAATACAATACCTGAAACACGTAGTTACCATCAGTTTGTACCCCTTGGCCATCAAAAGGTAAATTATTATTTTTTAATTATACCTTTTACCATATTTTAAAATACACGTATAACTTTTATTGATAAACTCAAACAGATATTAGATTTTTGCAGAATCATTATCAAAAATATTTGTATTTTATTTTATTTCCTCTGCATTTGCTATCTATGCATTTAATAAAACAAGTTTGATAAATAAAACGGAATAATTGCATATGTTATTATTGTGTTTAGGTAGGCACTAAGCTATGCAGTGTTGATGAAGAATTCGCTTTAATTCATGACTTTAGAAATATCCAGATAACAACTGTAAACCTAGTGTCAGGTGATTATGCCTGTGTTTCCTATGAGCAAAGTGGTGGATAGGAGTCATTGAAGATATTAATTTAGAAGAAAAAGATGTGCTTGTAAAATTTGTGTCCTAATGGTCCTGCACGGTTTTTTTAATGGCCACCAAAGGAAAGCCAATGCTGGATTCTTGATGTCCACATTATTTGCAAAGTTGAGGTACCGATAACGAAAACAGGACTTTGCTACTATCTAGCCAAAGAAGACTTAAAAAAAAATTTTTTTCCTAAGAATGTAGAGATTTTTATATTTATGAGTCTATTATGTCTTATCCATTCTTTTTTTAAATATTATGTTTTGTGAACCAAATTGTAAATAATGTGAGTGTAAAGCATATATAAAATCACTAAAGTTTAAATTTTGTTGTAAATATCATATGAAAATGAAAAAGATAATAAAGTCACTAAATTAGTTTCTAATTTGATTGATTGGTAAAAAGTAGGATATATTAAGTGTCTAATTTAAAAAATATTAAAAAATTTTGTGTCTATATCAAACATCAATAATTCCTCAAGTAAATATAAGGCCAAAACAAAATTGGTTCGAAAAGTAGGCGTTGATCTTATTTTTAAGAAAATCTAAATTAAATTTTTTTTATATCAGTTAGATTTTTTTTATAGCTATAATTGTCAATGTCCTTTTTTCTCGGTGTTATAAAGTGTATTTTATGGATCTTAAAATAAGCTACATGCCCTTGTTTTGACATATAAAAACTATATTTTATGGTTTTAACAGGTTTTAAACTCTTTTACTACAAAGTTTCAGAATTGTGGCATCACTACAAACACCATATTAAGGTGAAAGTAAACGGAATGATTTTCGGCACTTTTCCCCCCTCAGTTTTTAGTCAAAATCAAGAATCTTCAAATTGTTGTAAATTATAAACGGTGAGGATTTTTATGAAAAAAAATTGCAATCTTTCCTAACATATGTCTATAAACATTTGTGCCAAGTTTCAAAAATTTTGGTGGTATAGGGTGCAGATTTGTGTTTTTTTTTTGTGTTTTTTGAGAAATTTTTACCCTTCTATATAAATATTTAATTTCAAAATGGTGTAACACTATTTGTTAGTTTTTGATGCCCTGTACAAAAAAATGTTTATCTCAAGATGCCTAAAAGATAAAATTCTGAAATTTTTTCCTAATGTTCTATATGCATCTAACTCTATAATACAAAAAGTCTGGAATGGTTTTCTTTTTTAAATTAGATTTATTTGCATTTAAGAAAATTAAGAAAAACTGTTATTTAATAATAAAAAAAATAATTTGCATAAATTTTTTGCATTTTTTATAAAGATTTTCAGAATCTTGCTGTCTAAGGTAGTTCTAATATATAAACTTGTTTGCATTTCACATAAAAGATCATTATTTTATGCAATCATTATGTTTAATAGCTAAAGGATTTTCTATTTTCAAATCTTCAAACAATAATTATTTTAACATTGTTTCTTACAGAACTAGAAAATAATATAACAATATGAATGATAAAGAAAGATGTTCAATTGGAATAATAAATAAAGAAATTTGTAACAAACAAACACATGTAAAATTCTATGATATCAAGAAAGTTTCAAGTCTTAATGATGTGAAAAAAGACTTGATAATTAGTCGTTCTGGCATTCAATTTGATGAAAATGCAACGGTTTGCCTACACCATGATTATGTTTATTTAAAACATTACTCCACAATCCACATAACTTGCTGTGATCCATTTAATTCACACAATGGAAAAAGAAGAAAAGGTATTATTACTTAACCATGAAGCTTTTTTTAAACTTTATTATTTTATTTATAAATTTTATATATTTTTGAAAAATACTCACTGAGGCAGTAATTATCACTCATGTTTTTAGGAGGATGTAAAGAAATTAATATGCAACTTGCTGGGAAATTAAAAAATATTGGTAATGTTATTCCTGGAGAAAAGATATGTCCCTCATGTATGATTAAATTGATATCATTTAAAGATGATGGGCAAAAAGAACCGACTTGTAGCCAGATTTATGAAGATGAAGATAATGAACTTAATATAAATGAATTGTTAAAAAAAATCTTTATTCTTCTTTGACGATTATGAAAATAAGTCCTCTCAAAATGCATGCTGTAATTAGTCACTCAAAAGTTGCTCTTGGCAGACATGTTCAATGAACAAAAACATGTTCAAAAAACAGTAAAGTTAGGTAATGCAAGGACTTTAAATATAGATCCTGAACAGTTAATTAAAGAAGATTGCTTCAATAAATTATCTAAGGAAGTTAAAGTTAAAGCAAATGACATGGAAATACTTATTAGAAAAATCAAAGAAAAACTTTTAATTTCCAATCGTAATCAGAAAATTCAACTACTAACACTGGTTCCCATTTCTTGGTCTCACAAAGATATAGAAAAAGAATTTAATGTTACAAGTTATATGGTGCAGATATCATGCAAATTGCTGCAGAAAAATGGTATTTTATCTTTTATTGAAAAAAAAGGAAAGGAAATACCTCAAGAAACAGTAGATAAAATTATTGAATTTTATTGTAATAATGAAAATAGTAGGCTAATGTCTGGTAAAAAAGATTTTGTTAGTATAGCTCGAAGATCTCACATGCAAAAGCGTTTGATTCTTTCAAATCTAAAGTTGCTATATGCAAAGTTTAAAACCTGTTATAGAGATATAAAGAGTTGTTTTTCTAACTTTTGCTCACATCGTCCAAAATCGTGCGTTACAGTTGGAGCGTCTGGTATGCATACAGTATGTATGTGTACCTACCATCAAAATGTTAAGTTAATAATTAGTGCAGTTGAATTATCAAAGGATTATCACGACCTTATTGATATGCTTGTTTGTAGTAGGGCGAACAAAACTTGCATGATACATCATTGCCCAGTAGATTCTACATTAGTACATTATCTTGAAAATGAGTTGTACTCTCAAGACGATATTGATGAAGATGATGATTATTGTATAGATTACAAACAATGGAAAACAACAGACCGACCTGAGCTATTATATCTAACAGAAACGACAAGTAGCTTTATTAATAATTTGAAAAATAATTTGAAAAATAATGTTCATTAAGTTGAAAAATAATGAGTTAAGTAGTACTGAGGTCATTGTCCTTTGTGATTTATCAGAAAATTACGAGTTTGTTGTACAAGACGAAATACAAAGTTCTCACTGAAACAAAATTCAAGCAACATTGCATCCAACAGTAATTTATTATAAAGAAAATAATGTCCTCAAATATGATTCAATATGTTTCATCTCAGATGATTTACTGCATAATGTTGATATGATTTATCATGTGATGAAGCTAACAATTGAACATATTAAATGTAATATTTCTCATCAAATAGAAAGTGTCCATTACTTTTCAGATGGGTGTACTGGCCAGTACAAAAACTGGAAACACTTCGTAAATATATGCCACCATGAACAAGATTTTGCTATGAAATGTACCGGGTCTTTCTTTGCAACAAGTCACAATAAATCACCCTGCGATGGTATTAGTGGGACTGTAAAAAGACTAACTTTAATTTCTAGCCTTCATCGAACAACAACAAATCATATTAAAGCATCTGCAATGTTTTTCAAAATGAAATCATTTTGAAACTGCAAAAACGTTACCAGGCACTTGTAGCTATCACAATTTCGTTCCAATAAGTAACACAAAAATTGGAACTAAAGTTGTTTCTGAACAATTGGAGTATTCATTTGTTTTTAATTTTCAAACTGATGAGATTATTAAAGAAAGGGTAAACAGATTCTATCTGTTGACCAGCCTCGCACCCCTTCCTCATCTATTAGGCTGGCGCAGATGTATTTTTAATACATTGTTTCCAGTTTAGGATGTTGAACGCTGGATCTTCTTGACTCAATGCGTGGGTATTGCTTGTGTCTCTATTTTTATGACTGGGCAACTCATTCTATTATCTCCTAATGAGGGTACAGCTCTAAAACTCAGTTTTATGGTTCTGAGGCCGGCTGGTAGTCAGGTTTCCCGAACTCTGTGGTAGCTCTCAGAGAGGCTGATTCCATCAACAGCCGAAAAATATCAGAGTACTAACAGTGCCATGTTGCGCATGGATGGTGTCCCTGTTTGTACTTTTGGTGTGCATTGCAGAGGCCACATTTGGAGCCCTTTGTTACGGCTTAGGGTTTATTAATAGTAATGAGGCTATTGCTTAGTTGTTAAATAGTGTACTGAGTACTATCTATACTTGAGTCAAGTTCTTTATAAATTTAAAATGACCAAAGTACCTAAAACTAAAAAACACAAAAAACCATCGTCATCACCAAGTTCTCTAAACCTATCATTTACTAATATTCGTGGTCTTCGAAGTAACTTTTCTTCTGTTGAGTCTTATCTCTTGCAAAGTTCACCAGACCTACTTGCTCTTTGTGAGACTAATTTGAGTTCAGCTGTCCCATCTTGTGATCTTAGTGTTGATGGTTATCTTCCTTTAATTCGTAAAGACTCCAATAATCACATGCTTGGCCTGGGCATCTACATTCGTAAGAACTCACCCATTTGTCGTGAAACTAGGTTTGAATCTACAGACTATTCATTTATGTGCTTTCGTTTAGCACAACTTCACTCTATCGCCTTTCTCTTTGTTCTATAACGCTCTCCTTCATCCCAAGATTGCACTATTCTTGATGTTATTTCTGATCAAATTGACCAAGCCCTCTCTCTTTATCCATCGGCCAATATCGTCGTTGTTGGTGACTTTAATGCCCATCACACTGATTGGCTTGGCTCTAGTGTCAGTGACTCTGCTGGCGTTAAGGCCCTCAACTTTTGCCTTTCTCAATCTCTAACTCAAATAGTCAACTTTCCAACTCGTTTTCCAGACAACCCTAATCATTTACCTTCTCTACTCGACTCATGTCTTGTTTTGGATCCTAGTCAGTGCACAATTTCTCCACATTCACCCTTAGGTACTTCTGATCACGGTTTGATCTCTCTAAAACTATTATCAAATTCTTCTACTTCATCAGAATCCCCCTATCATCGTACCACATACAACTACCTTAAAGCTGACTGGGACTCTTTCCGTGATTTTCTTCGTGATGGCCCTTGGGTAGAAATCTTTCGTCTTCCTGCTGACAAATGTGCTTCTTACATAACTTCGTGGATTCAGGCTGGCATGGAATCTTTTATTCCCTCTCGACGATTCCAGGTCAAGCCTCACTCTTCTCCTTGGTTTTCCTCACATTGCGCTGCAGCAATTTCTAATCGAAACCGTTACTTCCATATCTATCAGCAAAACAATTCTCCAGAAAACAGACATCTGTTCACTATCGCCAGAAACCATTGTAAAAAGGTTTTGTCTGACGCCAAAGCTCGCTATTCCCAGGTCATTAAATCTCGTATCTCATCACAAAAATTAGGCTCTCGAGACTTCTGGAGAATCTTTAACAGTATCAATAATAAGGGCAAATCTGTTATTCCTTCTCTCTTGTATGGTTCAGACTTTGTCACCTCACCTAAAGACAAAGCTGAATTGTTTGCTAAGAACTTTTCATCAATATCATCTCTTGATTCCACTAGTTGCGTTTTACCTGACATAGCCGTCAAACAGGTTGATCCCTTGCTTGACATTCGCATCACTTCAGCTTCTGTATCTAAAGTAATTTCCTGCTTAGACTCTTCAACAGCTTGTGGTCCTGACAACATTCCTGTTGTAGTCTTGCAGAGGTCTTCTCCGGAGCTTTCATCCATACTTTCTAAACTATTTAACAAGTGCTTATCAGAGTCTTGTTTTCCATCATGCTGGAAAGCAGCATCTGTTATCCCTATTTTCAAAAATTCCGGAGAGCGATCTGATTCATCTAACTACCGTCCCATTAGTCTTCTTCCTGTCATAAGCAAGGTTTTTGAATCTTTAATCAACAAACACTTAATCTCTCATCTTGAATCAAATAACTTACTTTCTGATCATCAATATGGATTTCGGTCTTCTCGTTCTACAGCTGATGTACTAACAGTAATAACCGATAGGTTTTACCGTGCATTAGATAGAGGTGGAGAGGTTAAGGCTATCGCACTTGACATTTCTAAAGCTTTTGATAAAGTTTGGCATGCTGGTCTTCTCCATAAGCTTTCTTCTTATGGTGTAGCTGGTAACGTCTTTAAGATTATTGATTCCTTTCTTTCCAATCGTAGTATAAAAGTTGTCCTCGATGGACAACACTCTTCTTCACATCCTGTAACTTCAGGGGTTCCTCAAGGTTCAATCCTTGGCCCTATACTCTTTTTAATTTACATTAACGATCTTCCAGATATTCTCACATTTAAGGTGGCATTATTCGCTGACGACACTACCATTTACTCTTGTCATGATAAGAAGCCTACACTCTCTGATTGCTTGGAGGGGGTATCTGAGCTTGAAAAAGATCTCACTTCTGCTACAGCATGGGGCTCACAGTGGCTGGTGAACTTTAATTCAGATAAAACTCAATTTTATTCGGCCAATCGTTATCGTAATAATTTAGATCTTCCTATATTTATGAATGGTAATGTACTAGATGAGTCATCTACCATTCATCTTCTAGGATTAACTCTTACTTCTGATCTTTCTTTTAAACCGTATATCAAATCCATTGCAAAATTAGCATCTGCTAAGGTTGCATCTCTTTATCGAGCTCGACACTTTCTTACTCCAGATTCTATTCTCTATCTCTATAAATCTCAAATCCGTCCCTGTATGGAATACTGTTGCCACATCTGGGGCGGATCTTCTGGTGATGCTTTTTCTCTTTTAGACAAGGTGCAAAAACGAATTGTAAACATAGTTGGACCTGCTCTGGCAGCCAATCTCCAACCTTTGTCACATCGTCGTAATGTTGCTTCTCTTTCTCTTTTCTACAAATACTATAATGGGCACTGCTCTAAAGAGCTAGCGTCCCTTGTGCCATCTACTAAAATTCATTCTCGTGTTACTCGCCATTCAATTTAGTCTCATCCTTTTTCTGTGACTGTTCCTAAGTGCTTCAAAAACTCTTATTCTTCTAGTTTTTTTCCTCGAACATCAGTTCTTTGGAATTCGCTTCCTTCATCTTGCTTTCCTGATTCATATAATTTGCAATCTTTTAAGTCATCAGTCAATCGTTATTTTGCTCTACAGATTTAGTCTTTTCTCTTCCAGTAACTTCCAACTCTTATAGTGGTTGCTTGCAGCCTTGTTGGAAGTGAAGATGTTAAAAAAAAAAAAAAAAAAAAAAAAAAAAAAAAAAAAGAATTCTTGTCTAATATAAGCATTGGTGTGTTGTATGTTTGATAGATGATAACAATCCATGTTGAGAAAATTGAGAAAACTAACTTGAAATAAAGACTTTCAAGTTAGTTTCTTGCATCCATGTTACCTTTCAAGGTCATATTATTGGAGATGATGTTTGCTGGATTCCATCAACAAACTTATTGTTAATGATTAATATTCCAACAACTGTTACATGAAGACAATACAAAATCAGTGAAATTGATCACCAGAGCATTGAAGAAGGCTGGGCAAACGTTAAACCAGAGAACTAATTTGTTATCTGTCAAAGATTTTTAGTTCTTATTTTATTTAAATGTCGAAGATTGTTAATTCTTATAATCTTTTAGTTTTAATTTTTCTTATTGCAATTTAATTATTTCCGTGGTTAGTGTAATTTCAATATTTTTTTGATTATTGTTATAAGACTTTGAATGCAAATAAATTTGATTTAAAAAAGAAAACGCTTTCTGATTTTTTTGTATTATGGAGCTTGTTACATATAGAACATTAGGAAAAAATTTCGGAATCATATAATTTAGACATCTCAAGATAAACTTTTTTTTGTACAGGGCATCAAAAATCTTGCAAAAAGTGTTACACCATTTTGAAGTGAAATTTTTACATAGAAGCTTACATTTTGTAACGTTATGGATTTTTGAGTTCCTCACCCTAAAAAGTTGTTAGGTAGAAATTTTCATCACTATTAAACAAGTTTTTCATAAATTAAAGCTAATTGTGTTGTGCAATGAACTTAAAAAATAAATGGCTCTGAAAAAAAAGTCAAAAAATAGATTGGGACCAAGTATCAATATCTCGGAAACCGTAAGAAGTCTGATACTAAAATTTGGAGTGAAGTTTTCTTTCATTAATTTAAGCTTTTACTCCAAACACTAGCAAAGTCTGAGATGGTATGGTGCCGAAAATTTTTTTTTTTAATTGATTTGACGCAGAATGACCCATAAAGTCATTCTGTGTCAAATCAACTAAATATATATATATATATATATATATATATATATATATATATATATATATATATATATATATATATGCATATATATATATATATATATATATATATATATATATATATATATATATATATATATATATATATATATATATATATATATATATATATATATATATATATAAATAAAAGAAAAAAAGGCATAAATCAAAAGTGGTCCCTGGTGGTAAAGATAGCTGGATTTTTTTGAAAATGTGTCATTTGGCACAGGTTTTTAAAATTATTTTCAATTCTTTACTTTGTGAAATAATTCCATGTCGCCTTTTTAATGACTTCTTTGTTGTACCATGCAGTTCAAGTTATAATCAAATATTGTCTGTGTTAAAAAATGCCTCTTTAAAAAAAAAAAAAACTGTTCAAAAATCTGAACTTAATCGCAGTTATAATTTTAAGGGTAGAACAAGAAATGTTATTTTTCCATTATGTCATGATTGTGAGTTTTAAATAAATTTTGTTTGTTTTTCTTATTTTAAATTTTTTTAATTTTCAGTTGCATAAGTTTTTGAATGCAGTTTATTGAGAACTATTAGTTTTATAATATACCCTATAGTAAATATATTCCTTACTATTTCAACATTTATATTGAATATAATATATTAATAATGACATTTTGTTAAAAATTTTATTTTGTTAAATTTTAGATGTTTCAATCGAAAATTTATTTTCAAACTAACATTTCATTTAAACCCTAATTGAAATATTCAAGTTTTTCAAATTTGAATGTTTCAATTAGGATGTTAGTAGCATTGTGTTTTATAAGTTTGTTATTTTAAGTAATATTATTATGATAGTTATAATAGAAAATAAGTTTGTTTTTTCTATTTCAAAGGATTTTTTGCTCAAAGATTTGCTGTTAATAATTTTTTAAAAAAAGGAAAACTCAGGTGAGCATTAATTAACAAGTTAAAATAATTTCTTGTATTTATGGTAGTTTTTTCTATTTGTTTTTTCTGAATGTTTTTCGTCTGTTAGTTTTAATTAAATTTGTTCGTCTATTTGCTTTTAATTAAATTTGTTTATAACTGTTTATTTATATGAATTTATCTCTTAGTGTCAAACAAAGAATACACGAATTGCGATATGCTTGAAATTTGGAAAGAATGTAAAAATCAAACTAGTTTCACTCTAAGTTCTTGTATAAAATTTTAAAATTTTGAAATAGAAGTATTAGAAAGTTTTTTTTTTTAGTCTTTTAATTTCCATATTTATCTAGTTGCCTGGACTAATATAATTGCCATATATGAACTAAATAAATAAAAGGAAAAAAAAACATCATAGCACGATCAGGGCCGGCGCGAGTAGGTGTCACGTGGGGGGGGGGTGTGTGTGTGTGCTAGTACAACTTTAGCCGAACAAAAAAAAAAAAAAAGGTTCTCGTTTTTCAATTTGCCGACTGCCACGACCACTTTTGCCGACTGTCTAGATTACCGACTAACCTATATCGATAGGGTCGACATTTGCCGACTAACTAGTCTGAAAGGGTCCAATTTGCCGACTAAGAACCATTGATGGGGGGGGGGTCACACACCCCTATTGCGCCGGCCTTGAGCACGATGTTATACAGTGTAACATAGTGCTTTATGGCTCTTTGCAGTGTAGAAATAACCTCGTAAAAATGTTAGAAATACGTTGGTGATCGTTTTTCTTACAACGTGTGGCTAACATCATCTAAATAACGTTAGCCTATGTTATATTTCAGCCATTAATCCAACATCTAAACAACGATAGAATAGACATTGTCTTAACGTCATTTCGCTCAAAATACAACGTTTGCCCAACGTCTTTATAAAGTCTTTTTTCTTAAAATTTAACGTTGTTATAACGCCTCTCCGACGTCATTTAGCTCAAATGTCACATATTGTCACAACGTGATTTTACGTCGTTGAAAAATTGTCACAACGTGATTTTACGTCGTTGCAACAACGTTAGCAAAATGACGTTTTTTTGCTGTTTCATTTATAACATCATACCAACGTCTTTCCAACGATACGGAAGATGTTGTAACAATGTTGTTCCAACGTAATTTTTCTTATTGAGTGAGCAGTTTATGTAGCGGCGCATGTAAATTGTAAAATTGTACACAGATGTTGTATGACGTATTTTGCGGTTAATCGAAATATCCCTCTCAGTAAATAAAAACGCTGTTGGTCTGAGAAAGTGTTAATTGATTGGAGGATGAAAGTGTAAGGTGATTGGTTAATAATGTTGTGTTTAGAGAACATAAAAAAAGTATAGAGAACATTCGAATTTGTCCTAAATTATTAAGAGAATATTTTTTGACTTAAATAATCAGTCAGTGGAAAGAGATCGCAGGATCAAAGATATACAATACAATAAAAGTTCCCATTTGTGTCTCAGATCCCCAACACAAGACAATATATTTAAGCGAGTTTTTTAGGTAAATAAATATAAATCTAAGTTAAAAAGCTGCAAGGTTTGAATTTAAATTTACTTACATTAGTCTTTAATGGCTTGAACTAACTTTTATTTGTCAAGTCAATATTCGCAATCGACAACAAACGAAAAAACGCGTAAATTCAAGCAAACACCTTGCCTCACCGCGTACGCAGACACTTGTCCAGATATGAAAGACGACAACAACGAAAGCGATTCCCCGCATCAGCCTACCCTTTTGGATCTATGGTGAATCGCTTAGAATAACCAGTACATCCTCAAGACGTAAACCTATTGGAACAAAGCCCCATTGCTGACCCCCTCATAACGGAACATGATCACACTAGCAGCGACACAACTCAAACTAAAACAAAACGTAAAACATTTTATCATCCCTTACTGCGCACATAGACCCTTATCCAGGTAAGCAAGACGACAGCAAAGAAAGCGATTACCCGTTTCAGCCTACGTTGTTGAATTCATGGTACATCGCTAAGATTAACCAGTACATCCTCAAGACGCAAACCTATCGGATCAAAGCCCCATTGCTGAACTCCTCATAACGGAACATGATCACACGAGCAGCGACACAGCTCAAATCAAAGCAAAACGCAATACATTTTATCATCCCTCACTGCTCACATAGACCCTTGTTCGAGTATGCAAGGCGACAGCAACGAAAGCGATTCCCCCGCATCAGCCCATACTGTTGGACTCATAGTACATTGCTAAGATTAAGCAGTACATCCTCAAGACATAAACCTATCAGAACAAAGCCGTATTGAAACTTTGTTATGCTTTTTCATTTATTTGTCTTTTAGTTACTTTTATTTTTAGTTAATTTTTTTCTTTTTTATTGTTGAAATTGTTAGGCGAAAAAAAAATTGGAAAGCGGTCGCTTATGTCAGAGTTTACTTTATCAGATATTACTTACTAAACTTAAGTGTTTAAATAACAGATTTTTTTTATAACTCGCTTCTAAAGAGAAAACAATTGCAAAACAATAACATAAACAACTTTTTCCGGTTTATTTGGTAAATACTTTCAAATAAATATTTTTAATTGAAAGCATCATTACCAAAAATTAAATTAAAATGACTAACAATGTTGGTCTGTAACGTTTTTTTCTCAATACAATTGATTATATACTTTGTTTTCTCAGCAAAAATTTATATTACTTGTTTATTTATTATTTTATTTAATCTGCAATTTATTCAAAAAAAGAAAACTATAAATTGAAAATGTTAAAGTTTTTAAATATAACCAACATATTTTTATAAGAAACAATATAACCAAACAATACTCGGTTTAAAATAAAACAATACACTATTTCATGAAACGGTTCTAGAAATTCTTAATAGATTTTTTCTATAAAGGGTCTTCCATAAAAGAGGAGAGCAGTGAAAGGGCCTTACCCAAAAAAGTGCAAATGCGTAAAAAATATTTGTTCAAGACAGCAAATACCTACGCGATTTGACTTTTTTCTTACTCCAAAAACTTTATTACTTTTTTTTAACAAATGCAATAAATTTAACTAGTGTAAAAAACACTATGGTTTATTTTCTGACTTCGGTCACAAATGTTTTTATATTTCCTTATAAATAAAAAAAAAGAGAAAATATTTTCTTTTTAATGTTTTGAAAACCTTTTCGTTGAGGAAGAAGGGCTAATTTTGTAATAAAAAAAGGTTACGTACGATGGGGCGGGGAGGTCGTTAAAAGCATATATGCGCGTAAAAAAAAAGGAGGAAAGGCTCCTAAAACAGTCGTTTTACTGCATTCGTTATCAATGACCCTTAACTAAAAACCGCATAATATAAAAAAAAAGTAATAAAAAAAAAGAATTGCTAAAAATCTTTTATAATAGTTATATCGCCATAATTAAAACTATGATTAAAATTAAAAAATTAAACATTTATATCTAACTTTTAATCTAAAAAAATAAATTTAAATGTTATATTTTGTTCTATTTGACGAAGTATGGTTGATTCCCAAATTTCAATTTATATTTCGACAACAGAATAAATTTTCTTAACGTCGTTAAGGAAATTTTCTCATTACGATATACCAGAATGCTATATTTTGTTTTGTATTCAATGTTGATGTATGGTTGCTACCATATATTTTAGATCGTGTATATCAAAAAGTATATATTTCTCAAGGTTCCTTATATATTTCCGATTTGCTCAAACAAGTTGTAATACTATTTTTTGTTTTTATTGTCGACGGATGGTTGATACCAAAAAAATCAGCTTGTATTTTATCAAAATAAAAAATATCTAAAGCTACGTTATATTTTCCCATTTCATAAATAACGAGTGCAATATTATTTTTTGTATCCATTGTTGATTGATGGTTAATACCAAAAGATTCTAAGATTACTGCATTCAAAACAATGAAGAAAAATACAAAAGATTCTATGATTATTACATTCAAAACAATGAAGAAAAATACAAAAGGAATTAGTATAAAGGTAAAAACGTTCATTGAGCAACCTAGGAATAAAACAATACATAAAAACTGACTACGAATAAAACTTCGAATAAAACAACACATAAAAACTGAATACTCTAAAACATAGTAAATAAATTTAAAAAAAAACACAGATATCAATTAGATTTTATAGGAGATAAAATAAAAGAACAGACAACTTATCGTGGTTGTATGCACGCTGCTATAAACAATTATTAACATGACCATTTTAATGTTTTAATAGGTTTTTAATGTATGCAATGAATAAAAATTGATTTCTTCAGTAAGATAGGTGGTTTGTCTAATACAATACTGCGAAAAAATACTTTTTTTTTTTTAATTTTTTTTATCATGAATCCACCTTAAGTTGAATAAAACCTAAAAACTGTTAGAACACTCTGTAATAAAAGGCTGTAGTATTTAACAATTGCACATAGCCTCCTAGAAAAGTTATTAATTATTAAAATATTTGTAACTTAATACAAAAAAAATTTTTTTTAACTTAATAAAAAAAAAAACTTTATTATATAATTTAATGTTGTAAATAAAATCTGAAAAATTAAACAAATTTATAAAATAACTCTTTTGTTTACTGTATAAAATACTTTTTGTTTAGCAAGTTTTTAAAATTAACAAAAATTATATATATATATATATATATATATATATATATATATATATATATATATATATATATATATATATATATATATATATATATATATATATATATATATATATATATATATATACATATATATAACATAACATTTATATACGTAACATAACATTTAGTTATGTTAGGACTCAAAAAAGTGAGAATTTGTGTTAGAAATTAATAATATTTAATTACTTTCTGATTTACACAAGTATAACAAAAAATATTTAAGCAGGGAGACATTTGAATAGCTCGAATAAGTACATATACTCAAATAAGTACATATTCTCAATACTCAAATAAGTACATATTACTTTAGCTCAAAGCAGACATTAAAACCGCAATAAGATATTTGGCGTAAGATAGTATTGAAGAAGTTCATGCGCATTTTCAAAAATTTTTAAATTTTGTAGGCGCTTTAATGGTTTATAACATTTATTAATAAGGTAATTAACTCGGTTTTTTAAATAATATGATAACAATTTTTTTCTTCTCTAGTTGCATACTATTCTTTGAAGTTTTAAAAGGCACTAACCTAAATACGTGTAGGAGTCGCTAGTAAACCCGTACTGAAAACAATTGAAAACAAAAGATTATCTTACTAGAAAGGTAATATTTAGTTAAAAATACGAATGTTTTGAAAATAAGCAATTCTACTCAAATGATTCGAGTGAAAATGTTAAGCTAAATCTTCAAACTATGCCATGCGCGACAACAAAACTTAAATGTTAAACTAATCAAAATGAAATTTTTTTTTGCACAGATCTTGTAACTATTTTTGAATTTATGAATATAAAGTTTCAAGATCTGTGCAAAAAAAATATATCATTTTTGCGGTGCTTTATAATATAACCGTAAAGATTTCTGGAAGCACCTAAATAACTACAAAAAAAAAAAAAAAAAAAAAAAAAAGATAAAATAAAAAAAAGTTGTAAAAGTTTAAGCAAAACACGCAACACAATAAAATAAAATAGAAATATATTTTATCAAACTATATCTCAAAACCCCCAAAACCCACAAATGATTACATGGGGTAAAAGGGTTGAAGGATTTTAAGAAAGCGAGTATTTTTTTTTTTAACAAAAGCATTGATTTTTAGTTGTTTAAAAAATCATTATTATGTTATGAAACATGTCCAATTAACTTAAAGTTTTTTTATTTTTTAATGTTTTTAAAAAAATCATGTGTTGGGAAAGGAGCATAAAGGTACAAAAAACTACAGGTGCGTAAAAGGGTGTCCTAAATTAGTGGTTTTACTGCATATGCATTTATGAATGCACCCTTAAATGTTTTGTTTTACATGCAATAAATTGATTTACTCTTCAAAGCTATTTCACCAACTAAGCAACTTTATTGTTTGTACGCAAGGTATATAAAAATTTGTTAATTACAATTAAAGGAATTTAAATTACCGGCTCCTTTATAAACAAACAGTTGATAAATGAAATCCCAAAAATAGTAAAAATAAGGTTGCTGTTATTCTTAGCTTTTAATCTTCTTTTAGTCTCACAATTTTTGTATATTTAAAATTTTTATATAATGTATATTTGAAATTTTTCAAATATACATTAATTTAAATAGTGCAAAAATATGCGTCAATGGACCAGACTGAGCTGTCAAATCCAAGTAAAATAAGAAAAAAATTAGAAAGAGTGAAAATTAAAAAAGTTGAAAAGATTTGAAACGTAATATTGAAAATATTACGTTTAAAATACGTTGAAAAGTTTGACACGTTATAAAAATATCAATAGAATTTAAACAATGTGTATGCAATAAAAACAAAAAACTCTGACTCTTTAAAGAAAGTCACGTCCCATGCATTAAACCTAAGAGCAACCTATAAAGTAATATGTAAAAAATTATTCTAGTGGCAGTTGAACCATTAGGTTAAAGATTACCAGTTTAACATTTCAAAAAAAAAAAAGAATGAGTAATATAAAACAAAATTACTATTACACAATATAAATAATGAAAACAAAAAAAAAAAAAAAAAAAAAAATGCGAAAAACCAGGCCACAGCACTTAAATGTGTGGATTAATATAATATACCAATATATACATATATATCTATAAACACATAGGTAAATACAGAGAAAAAATAAAATATAATCCATAATATATATATATATATATATATATATATATATATATATATATATATATATATATATATATATATATATATATATATATATATATATATATATATATATATATATACAGATATATATATATATATATGTATATATATATATATATATATATATATATATATATATATATATATATATATATATATATATATATATATGTATATATATATATATATATATATATATATATATATATATATATATATATATATGTATATATATATATATATATATATATATATATATATATATATATATATATATATATATATATATATATATATATATATATATACAGATATAGATATATAGATATATATCAATAGAAAGAAAAATGGCAAAAAGATGATAAAATTTTTGGTGTTGTAAGATCCAATTGAAATTAAGTAGTAAAATTATGTAGGCGAAACACTATTCTTAGGTCATTAATATATTCACTAATGATGTTTTGGGGAGACTGAAAAAAAGTGGTTATTTTTTTTTGTCAACGCTTGTTTGACATCTTTATAATCTTTTTTAGCTTACATCATATTAGTCACTTATGTCATTAAAAATAAGCTTATTTAACTTTAGAAAAGAACTTAAGAAAGAACACTAAATTTAAAGGAAACAAAATGCAATAATCAAGGTAATTAAGTGTTATTGAGTTTTGGTTATTGAATGTATGGCTCAAAATTTTGGAATATACTTCTAAATATCATTCATAACAAAAAAAATCAGCTATTTATAAGAAAAAGATGAATTCATATTTTATGGTTTATGCCAAACTATTTCACTTATAAAACTATTTTTAATTTAACTATTTTGTTTATATCATTATGTTTACAAACTATGTATAATGAAATTTTTTTTTTTAAATCTTCACTTCCAACAAGGCTGCAAGCAACAACTATTGGATTTGTTAAAGGATATAATACTTTTGCAACTGAATCCATGTTCTCTTTACATTTTTATCAGAACTATTAAAGAAATTGATTCTTCTTTTTAATTAATAGAAATCTGTTAAAGAAAGATTTTTAAGTAACTAAAACTATTTTAAAAACAAACAAAGTCAAAACGTCAAAAGTTTTGTATTGAGTTACTGGAAGAAAAAAAATGAAGTTTATAAAGCAAGATAATGATTAACAGACGACTTACAAAATTGCAAACTATATAAATTAGGAAAACAAGAAGAAGGAAGCGATTTCGAAGAGCTGTACCCATCACAGTATTAATAGAAAAGAGAAAGAGAAGCAACATTACAACGATGTGACAATAGTTGAAAATTGGCGGCAAAAGCAGGTCCAACTATGTTTATACAATGAATTTTTTCACCTTGTCTAAAAGAAAAAGGGCATCATGCAAAGATATGGCAACAGTATTCCATATAAGGACAGATTTGAGATTTATAGAGATATAAGTGATGAAAGTGGCGAGCACGATAAAGGAATTAACCTTAGCAGATGCTGATTTTGTATTGGATTTGATATATAATTATTTTTGGCAAAGCTAAACAAGTGTTTTACCTACTTATTATATATAGTTTTATTGCAATAAAACAGACCTCACTACAAAAAAACCAAACACTCAAGCCTCTTCCAAATTCGTGAAACACAAATTATTTTTAGGAAAAGTGTGGTGACACAAAAAATGCATATTAAATATGATAATTATAAAAAACCATGGGAATAGTTTAAAAAACATTTGAGACTTTTTTTAGCACCGAGTTATGTAAGACTTTTTGAAATTATAAATATATTTAAAAAACAAAAATAGGCAGTTTTTTTTTCTTTTACTTTTTAAGCTTAGTAATCTTTTGTGGCTAAAATTTCCATTTATGGTTGAAAATTTTCAATATGGTTATATTAAAAAAGAAGAACTTTTAACATTTAAATTGGTCCATATTATATTTTTGGGTTTGGAAATTTGAATTTGTTATTATGTTTAAGCCAATTTTAAAATTTTATTTTGAGCTTTGAGGTTAAGTAAAATGTGGAGACACAAAATACAATACTGAGATCAAGACCTAAAAAAATTTGTATTAAAAAAATGAATAAACTATTTCCATAGTGGGAAAATTTTTTTATGGTCTCTTGGTGGCCAAAACTTTTGTCCAGTGAGAGATGATTTCTGTTGACTATCATTTTTAAACTTAATTTTAGTTATCCATATTGTAGTAATGTCAATTGAAAAGCCCTCATACAAAACCAGAAAAACCCGTATTTAAAAATCA